CGCTACTTAAAAAGTGGACATCGAATCTACCATTTGATCACAATACCACTCTTGGATATACCTAAAGATGTTACTCCAGAGCACCTGCCACAGTCCATGTTTATTGCGGCACTGATTGCCAATAGCCAAGTTATTGGAAACAGCCCAGAGATGCCCAGCCACTCGACGAATGGATTAGAAATGTAGTATCTAACACAATGGACATTTTATGCAGACATGAAGAAGAACAAAAATGTAGCATTCGCTGGTAAATGGATGGAATTGGAGAACATCATTCTGAGTGAGGTTAGCCTGGCTCAAAAGACCCAAATCGTATGTTCTCCTCATATGTGGACATTAGATCAAGGGCAAAACACAACAAGGGATTGGACTATGAGCACATGATAAAAAGCGAGAGCACACAAGGGAGGGTGAGGATAGGTAAGACACCTAAAAAACTAAGCTAGCATTTGTTGCCCTTAATGCAGAGAAACTAAAAGCAGATACCTTAAAGCAACTGAGGCCAATAGGAAAAGGGGACCAGGAACTAGAGAAAAGGTTAGATTAAAAAAGAATTAACCTAGAAGTAACACCCACGCACAGGAAATCAATGTGAGCAAGCCCTGTATAGCTATCCTTATCTCAACCAGCAAAACCCCTTGTCCTTCCTATTATTGCTTATACTCTCTCTACAACAAAATTAGAGATAAGGGCAAAAAGTTCTGCTGGGTATTGAGGGGGGAGCGGGAGGGGGTGGAGTGGGTGGTAAGGGGGGGTGGGGCAGGGGGGAGAAATGAACCAAGCCTTGTATGCACATATGAATAATAAAAGAAAAATGAAAAAAAAAAAAAACGAATGCCAGACATTGTTTATAACAAGTACCTATCATAATACAGAAAAGGAAAAGCAACCTAAAGATAAAGAAACAAGAGAATCAATACAACAAGAAAATATATTTAGTAAATTAACACAACAAAGGAAAATCAAAGTTAAGGGGTATTCTAATATAAATAAATATGATAAAAAATCTTAATAAGACTGTTCACCAAGAAAGAAAAACTTTGTAACAGGACATCATTTGTGAAATTCTGCAGCCCAAGACAATACTTTCAGTAACAGAAATGGACACATAGTTTACGAATTGACTTATTGATTGATTAATGACTCCAGGCTCTAAACTTGAAAACTTGGTCTTGCTAGGCAAGTGCTCTATCACTTGAACTATAGTCCTAGTCTTTTTTTGCTTCAGTTAATTTGTAGACAGATACATGCTTTTTGCCTTGCAGTGTGATCAGCCTAAATTGGGAACACAGGTGCCAACATCACTCCAAGCTTATTTGTTGACATGGGATCTGAGTTTTTACCCAGGCTGGTCTTGAAATGCAATCCCCCCTGTCTACCTCCTGAGTAGCTTGGATTTCAGCCTTGGTCCCGTGCAACAAGCATAAAATATTTTCAGAAAAAGAACATATAACATGAATATGTTTGTACAATAGTGTTTTCCATGAAATTGAGGTAAATTGTGAAATTAATCATTGAATTTACTTATGATGTAATATGAGGCTAGTATATATGAATGTATTATATTCTACATAGTAGTTGTAAGTCGTAAGTGAATTTTTTAAACAATGACATTTACTATATCTTAATGTATATGCTCCCTAGGCCTAAAAATCATACTTGCTTTGAAAGACTCTTGACATTAACAAAACATGTGTAGAATAACGGCAAATAGACTGAAATTAGTGCAGGTCTAAATAGGATTATGAAAGGACAAACTCATACTAGAAAGACCTTAGTACCCTACAAATAAATGTATTGATTCAGTGCAAGTGTACTCTAACCTAGAACATGCATATGGTGAAAATTACATTGAGTTACAGGATGTTGAGACTTCTTCACCCAGTTAAAAAGTGTTATTGATTGCCTCTATTTTCTGGAAATTATTAATTATCTATGTCATAATAAAAGGGCACATAATTCTAAATAAACATGGGGTGTTTGTGAATAAAACATGATATAATTTATAGAGGTTTTATTTGGTGAGCTAGGAATAACTTCAGTGTTTTTTGAGAGTTCCAAAATGGTGTCATGAATATGTCAAAAAAGTCAAGGAAGTTAAAGTAACATTGTTTGTGCTATCATAACAAAAACAGGGAGTGTTTGATTGGAATTATTTGCAGTGTAGAATTCATTTTTAACTAAAGCAACAAAAGAGGAAAAGTTTACCATTGTGCTGTAGGGGAGGGGTGTCAACTGAACCTTGACTAATGGTAACCTGCACTCATCACCAGACATGGATCAGTGTGTGAAGTGTGCAGATCATCAATATGCCAACCGAGACAAAAACCACTGTCTCCAAAAATCTGTGACCTTTCTGGGTTATGAAGATCCCATGGGTTTGGCTCTGGCCTGCATGGCTGTGTTCTTCTCTGTACTCACAGCTGCTGTTCTTGTGGTCTTCATGAAACACAGAGACACTCCCATTGTCAAGGCCAATAACAGGGCTCTCACCTACATCCTGCTCATCTCCCTCACCTTCTGCTTTCTCTGTCCCTTGCTCTTTATTGGCCGTCCTAGCATGGCCACCTGCATCCTCCAGCAGACCACGTTTGGAATTGTGTTCACAGTGGTTACTTCCACTGTCATGGCCAAAACTCTCACTGTGATTCTGGCATTTAATGTCACGTCTCCAGGGAAAAGGATGAGGTGGCTGTTGGTATCAAGAACACCTAACTACCTTATTCCCATCTGCACACTGATCCAACTGACTGCCTGTGGAATCTGGCTTGGAACCTCTCCACCCTTCATTGACACAGACACAAACTCGGAACACGGCCACATCATCATCGTGTGTAACAAGGGATCACTTGTGGCCTTTTACTGCATCCTGGGATACCTAACTTTCCTGGCTTTTGGGAGCTTCACTGTGGCTTTTCTAGCAAGGAACCTTCCTGACACATTCAATGAAGCCAAGTTCCTGACGTTCAGCATGCTGGTGTTCTGCAGTGTCTGGGTCACCTTCCTCCCTGTCTACCACAGCACCAAGGGAAGGGTCATGGTGGCCGTGGAGGTCTTCTCCATCTTGGCCTCCAGTGCAGGGATCTTAGGCTTCATCTTTGGTCCCAAGTGCTACATTATTTTGTTAAGGCCAGAGAGAAACACTCTATATGGCTTCAGGAATAAAACCCATTCTATGTACAATGAAGGTTCTGAAAGTTAAATTCATGTGTATATTAAACAAAAATCAAAAATAAAACTAAACCATTCTAGCAGTTAGATATGAGAGTAAAACTTGTGGTTTACTTCAGTCTACTGAAAACTCATGCTACTTCTTCTATCAGGATTAGAATTTCTATACGTTGCATTTCTTATTTTCAACATTTGATTGTGATGTTGTTATTCACTTTGTGTCATTGATTGTGCAATCAACCCTGCAAATACTACTGGCTTATACTTCTAATCTCCACAATGATGTTTTCTGCTTTTTGGTACTTATAGTTACTTTCCTCCATTTTCAGATTATATGAAATTCAGTGTTGCACTGTTTTAGATTCCTTCGATATATTTCATTGATTTTTTGGCAATAGTGGAAAATTCCTGGAAATTCTTCTACCATGTGAGCAAAACCACCATCCCTTTTTGCATTTCTTATTTTTGAGATAGAGTATTTCTTTTTGCTTGGTCCAGCCTGGTCCTCCCCCCTCCCATTTAGTGTGTCTCTGTATAGTGAGGAAACAAGTACCTTCTGCCTCTAAAGGAAAATGCTTCAGGTTCCAATGAAAGTGGAAAGCTCAGCATTCTTCTTTAATGAAATAGTGCCTCATTCAATAAATTGATGTTAGCTTGATTTAGCATATTAGCTCTAATTTAGCAATGCTGAATTAGTTCTGTGAAGTAAGCATTGAGGCATATACTGAGCAAACAGAAATATGATCTTCTACAGGGGAAATACAGTAAAGACCCCCTGGTTTAGAAGGTTAGCTCAACTGGAAATTGCTCACTGAGAACCCCGAGTTCCTATATTCTTCTAGGGATACTGGAGCAGTGGCCATGATTTTTCTTTATTAAGGTTTTCTATTTTCCCATGGGGGGTGTTTGTCATGCTTCTGCAGCTAAGCTTTCTTTCCCAGTGTGGAGTTGGGGGCTGGACCCAGTGTCTTGAGCACTGCAGTTGTATATGATTCCTGAGCTACAACCCCCAGTACAGTGATGACAAAACACACCCCAATACATTCATGTCTAGTCTCCCTAAATTTGTGAATACTTCAACTGAAAGTACACAGTAGACTAGTTTCCTCCAGCTAAAAACGTGGCTTCAGGTGTCAAAGCCAGTACTCTTGACCACAATTGTCACTTGGGGCATATGTCTATCACATTCTCCAGACATGGAGCCAAAAGAGTGTGCATTCAAACACACACACACACACACACACACACACACACACACTGAATGAGTAGTTATGGAGGTAAAGAAGTTCCAAATGTATCTACCATCAACAAATTAGAAACCCAGGTGAGCACATGGTACAAAATCCAGTCCAAAAATTCACTCAAGAGCCAAAAGCAAGAGTTGACAAGTCTCTTCAAGGCAATAGCAGGATAAAGACAATGCTGTAACTTATACAGTCAGACAAGAACTACATGTTACTTAGTGGTTTAGTTCTACTCTAGCCTTGAACTGCTTAACCAAGCCCACTCCTATTAAAAGGGCCAAGTGCTTTTCTCATTTAGTACTTTGAAATATTCAAATCACTCAGAAACAGCCACACTTTGAATAGTGCTTGATCAACTATCTGAGTACTCAGTGGCCCATGCGCATGTCACATAAAATTAACCATCCATCATGAAGCACTTTGTTGTGTTTGTCTATGAATAAAAACTCTTGCCAACCTCAGATTGCTGAAGAACTGGAGGCAGGTGCTGTGATCACCTTTCACCAATGAGGACAAGGTTCAGTGTCACTGGCTCATTTCATGAAGTCATCAACTAGAGGGAGACATGTGCTCTTATTTCTCTTTTAGAACACACTGGCCCATTCATTACATTCATTAACCCCTGCCTGAAAAAGTGTTTAATTTGCTCTCTAAACTGCACCAGTTTTAGTTAATTAATTGCAAAATGAATGTTGTAGATGTCATAAGACTTTATCAACAACATTAGATAAATAAATCCCACTGGAGTAACATTAATTGAAAATGTCATGAAATTCTTTAATAATCCATAAAGAAGCTCTGAGAGAAAGGTGAATCAGAAACCTAAGGCATGCTTGGATTGCTGATGCAGGCTGGGCCAGTGAGGTGGGTCACTGTTACAACCTACATCAGTCTAATGCCATTGTCCCTCCTCCCCCACACCACCTCAGTCATTGACTGTCAGGGGTGGAATTTGCTAATCTCCTTGCCAAGGTCCTGTCCCACACATGTCACACTTCACTGCAGTGTCTATTACTCTATATCTGGCCAACACCTGGGCACAGGATGTGGACATGAGTATACACAGGGACATTCACAGCTAAGCAGGGGAGACAGATTAGGAGAGTGCCTTTTGGGTCCAAGACTGGGCTGGGGACCCTGACAGTCCCTTCATAGCACCAGGGCTAATCAGGTTATACCAGCTTCTTGTGGATCTTTGAACATGCCAAGGTAGGCTTGGAAGCATGGATATAGATGAGAACCTCTCAATGCTGTCACAACTTATTCCCTCCATGCTGTTCCCACTATACTGTGCCTAACCATTCAAATACTTTTCCTTCTGACTAAACAGACTGCAGTGTCTGGTCACTGACTATGCTGGACCTGCATGAGTTGCTGAATGTGGGCCAAGAAGTTGTATTCATGTCCAGAATCCAAGTCTCCAGATGCTCTACCTTCAGTGTGGACCCTATGGGATTCCCAGTATGTGGGCAAGGGGTGGAGAATCCTGAAGCAATGTCCTGCCTGAGCTTACATCAGCCCTGGTGCTTATCTGTGCAGGTGGGTGATGAAAGGGTCCTCTGAGTTAGACAGTTGGGTCACAGTCCTGTGTCTTGGGGCCAGGAAAGACTATGGCTGCTTCAAGTCCAGGGCTTGGATAAGGGAACCAGAAGGGAAGTCATTGTGGAAGTGTTCTCACCCTGTCATATATACTCAAGCTCACATGCATGAACACACATGTATGCACACAGATGCATGTATGTTCACCATAGTGGGCTTACTTAATCAAATACACTCATACACACACACTTAGGACAAATATACTCAATACACACACTCGTGCATGTGCGCACTTGTGCATACACACACAGCACTCATATGCACATGTACACACTCTCTTGCACGTACTCACCTGTGTAATCAGACAGGAGCCAAGTGGGATGTGAGAAGAAGGTCGAATGTGTTGTTTCTCTGTGGCACAGCAGTGACGTATACACAAAAGCAAAACTGCACAAAGAGGTGGAGGTGTGCTGAGGGTGACAGGATAATGCAGGCAAAGAGATAACCAAGAAGAAGTGAGAATGTGTTTGGGGAGTGCACAATGAGTAGGTCAAGATGGGGTGAAGGTGAGGCTCATTCCCACAGATAAGCCATGCTAATTACTCACATTAATCTCCTGGACAACTCCAGCAAGCCCAGGAATGGGAGCTCAGGATGTCTAAGGTAGTGAGAGTTCTCGCTAGCCCACACAAGTCACCTGCAGAGGACTATGGACTCCTTGTGGATTGGGTGTCCCTCAGGACCCCTTTCATGAGGGTTTGTGTGGACATGAGCAGCTTCAAACAAAGGAGAAAAGCACAAGGGCAGCTCTGTGGTATCCCATGCAGACTCCAGGGAAATTTGCTCATGTCCACATTCTCATCTTGTAGAAGGAGCTTAAAACTGTGGGTCTGGTGTCTACACAGCACACACATCCAGAAAGTCTGTTTCTACTCTGTGGCCTTGAGAAAGTTGCTTGATGTCACTGTGCCTCTGTTTCCTCCCCTCTAATACGTAAGTGATAATAATACCTATCTCATCATTATGAGGTGGGTCAAATAGAATAATTCTACTATGAGCTTAGGCTACAAACTGGCTCCCATGGTGCTGTCAAAATGTTTCCTATGGTTATTCATCACTGGCCAGTAGCAGGAGAGGCTGAAGCTTAAATGCATGACGGATGAAGGCCACCTGCATTATGTCAGCACATAGTAGGTACTAACAAAGCTCCAATCTCATGCACCCCTATCGTGAAGTAAGACTTTGGCACAAAGGAGAGTGGCCACCTCATCCTGGACACTAGAACCAAGGCTCATAACCCTTGCTTCTGAGAAAATCCATGGAAAACAACTGTCTAGGCTGCTGAGCTCTGGGTGTTTCAGTGAAGGGAAGGGCTTTCTGGTGACACTGCAGGTTAATCTGTGACAGGAGGTATCATTTTACATTAACCATGGCCCCAAGGCACATAGCAGTAATACAAATCCCTCTCCTCAAAGTGGAACACAGCTCCCCACACACACCCACCTTCCCCAGGTCAGCCAGCCATTGGGGTATTCTAAAGATGCAAATGGTTTTATGGAGTTGCCCACGATTCTGTCCATGTTACAAAAAAGTAACTGCAGCCCCAAGATAAGGCCCAGTCCACATCACCCCATTTACACCTCATTCACCTGTGCTCTCTCCAGCTGTGCCCCTGCATCAGGTCCTTTGCACTGTCTATTAATTACTTATCTGAACTGATGAGAGAAAGAATAAATCCAGGACTTCCCAGTCAGGCTCAGGATGCCCCCTCTCCACAGATGATTCTTAGAGAAAGATCCAAGACTGAGGGATACATTAGGTGACCCATATATTGGTGGAACTGAAATTTCAAGTATTCCATTCCTTTAGTTTTTCCTTTACCTTCAGCGAACACTTCTAATGCATCTAAATTTCTTCAATCCCTCACATTCTGTAATCAACATTATTCATTGATGGGGAGAAACTTTAAACTGAGTTTCTTAGTTGATTTGTTGACTTTGTGTTCCCAGAATTTCAATTTGATTTCTGACAGAATGGCTATAACTATTGAATCTTTACAATTCAAGCCCTGCATTGACTTCCTTATTTCCATTGGTTCTTTATTTGTGTTCTCTTGTCATCCACTCATGCATTCATTCTTTCCTTCTTTAACTATTCTTTTCTTTAACAATCACTCATAACCATTTTTAAAAAACCGTTTGTCTAACATATCTTCTTTTCATTATTGTTAGTGTTCCTTTGGAGATAC